CATGGGTTTCTCGAGAAAGGATATTGTGACACCTGCCAGCTCTCTTTCTTTTATTACGTGCTACAATCTTGATACAGTGGTTTTGCTCTTTATACAGTCTATTTTTATTTGACTGGGGCCTCTGATTATGTTGACCATAACCTTCTCCTTCTGAAACTTGCTTCATTCGGCATAGGCAATAAGCTTCTGAACTTAATATCTTCCTACTTGGATGCTCGTACACAACGAGCTTAAAGTTCCAATGTTATCTCCAACCCCACATATGTGAGGAGTGCAGTTATTCAGGGTAGCGTACACGGACCGCTCTTATTTGGCCCTTTGTCAACGATGTTCGTGATTGTTTTCAGTATGGTAGACCCTTTATGTACGCTGACGATTTAAAAGTTGCTTACATCGCAACATTGTGCTCAAGCTCATAAAAAAGGATACTCAGGCCTTTGCCCAGTGGTGCTGCACATGACGCCTAATACTTTCATGGCAAAAATGTTCCCCTATGGTTGGTGGCGATGATCATCAGCCTGAATTAAGCATAAACGATCACGAAGTAAATGTGCCAGGAGGTATTAAGTAACTTTACATATCCTATTCTAATACTCTCAATCTGTCAGAGCAACGTGTCTTAACTGCCTCGAAAGCACGCCGAACTACTGGATTTATTCTTAGAAATTTTAAGACCATAAAGTTTAGAACTAGCCTTTATAATATGTACGTGAGACATAGTTGCGAATAATACTCACCCCTACTCAGTCTTCTGTGCACTAGTGAACGGAGGAAAATAGAATCGGTCCAGCTATTCTTCACTAAAAGTTTTCACTTCAGAACACCGCAATTAGTCCTAGCAACAACGGCGTGAACTTATAAAACTCGATCCCTGTCGAATGAAAGCAAATGTCAATATAGTCGACTTTTATTTGGCAGCAGCTTAGGAGTTCTACTATATGAAGGTCGACTAGATAGGCTCAATCTTTTCCTCTCTATTATAGGCACTAAAGAGGAGATAGGATCATAGTGCTCAAACTCGTCAGGGGAGTAGACTGTGATCTTAGGATGGGTGACATCTTTGAATTCGCACAAACGTCAAATCTCCGAGGTCGTCCATACAAACTGATGAAACACCATGCCAAACTAGAAGTGTGGGCCAAGTTCTTCACCAACCGGGTCATATAAGATTGGAAAAAACTTCCTTCCTCAGTTGTCCTTGCTGAAAGCGCTGACGCA